TATATAATGTAATAAATAGCCTAATAAATGCAAAAAAACTGTAGTTTTTGTCTGATATAACAATAAATACAACTTTATTAGCTATCAAGCTATGAAATATGTTTTGCGGCTCCAGACAAAAGAATTTGGGGGAAAAAGGAGCAAAATGGCTCTTTTGGTCAAAAAGGTTGCAGACCCCTGTCCTAGTGGATGAAGAAGGAGAAGGAGAATGTTGTTGACTCATAAACAAATGGGAAATGGGGATTCAATTAGATTAGTTTGAATTTATTGATCCTAAATTGGGAAATGTATGCAAATTCTGAATATGGGATCAATAAGGTAAATAGAATTAAATTTTATTAATTAAACTTTTGTCACTTAAGATTAACATAAAGATGTATTGTTTTATCTGAACTCTAACAATTCATTCTGAAATAATAGTTTACCATTAAAAAAGTACGTTTCCTCTTTTATACCTTATCCGCTGGATTAGACTTTCTGCATTTTCATTTTCATTTAGCCATATTTATTAGGGATAACTTTACATTTTTTCTGACATTTACCTTTTATAAAATGTTATGTTTTCATCGCATAAACTGTGTAAAACTTTAGACATATCCCTTTGCTTTTCTATCATCTCCATAGCTGCTGAAGTTTGACACTGTATAGAGAAAGGATCCATTTCCAGGCTGTCCTGATTTACTGAGTCTCTGTGCGAGCTAACCAACTGCCACAGTTTCCAGTCCCACACCCACCACCTGAAACACTCGCTGCTGCTCATCTCCAGCAATTAGATATAAAAATATAGACCAATGAGCTCCCTCTGTAGTGAGGAGACACACTAAGAGAGGCCGCTGTTACTAGGGAGAGCAAGAGAGAGTGGGCCATTACAAAAAACACATTACATAAACAACAGGGGGCTTCAGATGATCGTGTCCAGAGAAAACTGAGGAGAAGATTCATTTCAGAGACAAAGCGTGACTTTTTTCTACTTGAATGCAACAAGCTGCCTGTAACTGGACCGTTTTGTTAGGGGGCTGTGACACTTTTATTTTGACCTTTGACCTCTTGACAGCTTGTTACTTGTAACAGTGAACTGAAGACAGGGCTGTGTTTATGATGCTAGTTAAAATAATTTTATTTTGTTTTCCTTCACTGGACATCTGATGGTTTTCAGAAAGAAGCAGTCACATTTTCCCCATCTGGCCCACATGAGTGTGTCTTAAATGCTCAAAAATAAAACCCCAGCAGTTGATTATTAGTGGCTTAATTTGAGGAATACACGCACTCATATACAAAGCCCCCTTTCTATTTCATTTTACAAAAGAAACCAACGTCGTAAAATGTTGGCTAAACACATGCCGTTGTTAGTGTTTTGCAAAAATAAAATGAACATTGTACACATTGTACTAGGGGTGTAACGGTTCACAGAATACACGGTTCGGTATGTACCTCGGTTTGGGGGTCACGGTTCGGTACGGGTTCGGTACAACAAGAAAAAGCAAAAAAAAGTCCCAAATCCATAATTCCAGGTTTGTTGTTATTTATTTTGAACAGTAATGCAAGTTTCAGTTTAAAAATAAGGAACTCTAACATTTCGAATAATTAACTTAATCAAACAAAAAGGTTCAATCAGCTGTAAAACTAAAAAGAATGTCTTGAAAATATTACTAAATAAATAATAAGATAGTGTTTCAATCACAATCAATAAAAGCCAGGTTCCTCTACTATTGCATAAGAAAAAGTATATGCCAAAAGCTTCTGTTATTTATTTTGGTCTCTCGGCTTTCATGTCTATTGGCTTCTTAAAAACAGCGGGGATAAACTGTTGAACTGCTGTTGTCTTTTGCCGGGCTCCGGTGATGCCTTCTGATATGATTTAATGGTTTTTATTATACATCCATGGTCCCATCCACCACTCGCACTCCATCGTTATTGTAGTCCAAAGGGAACCCGAAATGTTCCCACACAGCTGATTTAAAAGAAGTAGGTGGGTCTTCTAGCTTCTGTGTGTTATCTGAACTAGTGAGGTGTCAGTTGCGAACGAGCCGCTCTTTTAAGTGAACGACGGGAGCCGGCTCGCGCCCGCGAACGAGCCGTTTTTTTAAAAAGTCATACAAGACAGAATGATATGATGATATCCACGCTACGGGTGCTCCGTGCATGCATGCAGTGACATGTAATATCCAAGGATTAGAGACTGTTGGATGCTGCTGTTTTGAGCATTGCAATATATTTATTTTCATTATGTTATTTATTTATGATTATTTTTAGGCTCAGCAAAGATTTGTTGTCGGTTTGTATAGGTGTTGCTATCTGCTTTTTTTTAGCGTGGTTCTACAATCAGAGTCAGAGAGTTACAAGGGTCTGTA